CTTTGTTGCTAGTAGCTTCTAGCTGCTAATAGCGATGCACTTGTTACAAGATGTAGCATTTGCGGCTTCATCCTGACATTCATGGTGTTTCACCTTTGTTCTCACCAGGGAGACCCGATGCGGCGGAGACCCGACCGTCCTCGGGACACGGCCCGGTCCAGAGTCAGAGCAGCTTTGTTCGATAAGCGGACGACTTGCGCCATGTTGCATCAGGGTAGATGATGGTACATCCATGTCACGGTAGTTACAACGAAATTCCAGCACCAGCACCTTCAACATGTCTACGAACTACTACGACTAGCATCCACTCACTACTCATTGTCTCCATACTTTACGTCATTGAGACGACGTCGGAGTGTTGGTGGATGCTTTGTGTCTTCGACTTGCTCATCACGTCCCGCCCGGCACGGTCACGGGACAGAAACGCAACGGCTGAGGTCAACCATGCAGTAAACCTCTCTCAGTTACAAGCATCCATCTATACACAGGACTCTGCTTCCAATGAACAACACATGGTGATTTACATGAGTTATCTTGCCACTAGAGGCGCTATCGCGGCGCTATAGCGGTGAGTTCTTTGGTTTCACCGTTTCACCCAATGGGTGCCGCTGCCAGTGCCCTCGCCTCGCCGAGCGCCTCCGCCGCCGCCGCGGCGGACGCCGAGGCGGCGCTGCGGCACTTCATCGCCGAGGACGTGGAGCGGGCCGAGTGGCTGCTGCACCGGGCCGACGCGCTGCGTGGACGCGACAGAAACGCAGGGGGTTTGGGGGACGAAAGGCGGATTTACTGAAAAAATGGATGAGACACATGGAAGAGGTCATTTTGCACAGAACCCAGGGCCAAAGAGTTGCAACTAGATCACGCGCTGAGTCGTACATGGCATCGAGTCTTGATTCACGAGCAGCCGCTCTTTTTAGGGATTTGGAACCATGCAGTCACACAGCCGGTGGTTTTGCAGTCACACAGCCAGTGCATCACCACTAATTACAGACTGTTCATCCAGGATCTTCCTCTAGGCTACAGTAAACAAAACAGATGCGCCGGTTTCCAAGTCACCAATTCCTAACACAAACAAAACATGCCATGCTTCTTTTGATCTTCCCAGCCCAGGGGTACCCTTGTGTCCCGAAGCTGCATGGGGGAACAGCACACCCAAGGCTCGTGGCAGAGTTTCGGGGTTCCCCGCGCACGTGGAAGATCAGCGGCCTCGATGGCTCGTCCTTCGAGGTGGAGGTCGATGGCAGCATCACAGTGGCCGGAACATCAAATTGGAGTGTTTGAAAGACGACGCGTTTCGTATATTTTCGTTCAAGCGGAGAAACTGAGATCGAGCTTGAAGCATTTCTGAGATCTTTCCTCCAAGAAGTTGTTAGGGCAAAGAGCACTTTCACAGACGAAGTCCTCGGACAAACCACCGGCAAACCACCGATAGTTTTTTTTGCTTATCCTGTCCAATCGGGTTTACTTGGCAGAAAGCTTGCTCCCTGGTGATGCTACCTCAAGTATTGTGGAGGTCCACATTTGATCATCAGAGGCACGAGTTACCAATCCCTTTTTGTTTTTGCCCCAGAGGTAGAGGGTGCCAGGCTTTCCCCCTTTCACATGAAGTGCAGTGATCTCTTTGCCTCAGGTGGGCGACTTTTCAAAGATGATTGCAACGAGAATTGGTATGCAAGCTGGTCGAAGACTCCTTCTGTCTTCTGGCGGCAAACTCCTCGAGGATTCCTCCGTGCCCCTGCAGCACAAAGTGATCGGCAGAGAGATTTCCTATGTCGTTCGGCAGGTGTGTGCACTGGAAGCAGCAATCGCTTTGGAGCGGGCCCTGGCAGAGAGGACAAGAGATCACTCGCACACGGCCGTGACAGATGCAATTTCTTCCCTGACCTTTGGCCTCCAGTTCAACCAGACGCTGGTGGGGTTTTCGATGCCAAATCATTTGGAGAGTTTGACTTTTGGTTACGACTTCAACCAGAGCTTGGTAGATGTCAGTCTGCCAGAGACTCTCCTGGAGCTCACCTTTGGGGAACGATTCAACCAGAGTTTAGAAGGTGTGAGGCTGCCAAGTAGCCTTCAAACATTGACTTTTGGCGAGGAGTTCAATCAGAGTTTGAGATGGACTGATTTACCAATTAGTCTTCAAGCATTAACCTTTGGCCTGGAGTACCGCCGAGGTTTGGAAGGCGTAGTGCTGCCAGAGAATTTGAAGATCTTGATCTTGGGTGAGGCATTTGACCAGAGTTTGAATCATGTCACCTTACCAAGCAACCTGCAGACCTTGGAATTTGGGTGGGCCTATAATCAAAGCTTGTCAGGGGTGATGCTGCCCAGCAGTCTGCAGACCTTGACCTTTGACTACAAGTTCAACCAAAGCTTGGAAGATGTGACTCTGCCATCAGGTCTGCAGACCTTGACCTTCGGTGCAAGCTTCAACCAAAGTTTGGAAGGCGTGACCTTGCCAAGCGGTCTTCAGACTTTAACCCTAGACAGCGAAAAGTTTGACCAAAGCTTAGAAGGCCTCACGCTTCCGGAAGGCCTCCAGACTTTGATCCTAGGCAACGTTTACAACACATTGGAAGGCATCATGTTTCCCAGCAGCCTGCAGACCTTGATGTTGAGCAAGCTCGACCAGAGTTTAGAAGGTGTTTGGCTGCCAAGGAGTCTGAAGGTTTTGAAGTTTGGTCGCGACTTTGATCAAAGCCTACAAGGTGTTACCCTGCCAGACAGCCTTCACACTTTGACTTTTGGCTTGCTCTTTAACAAAAGCTTGAATGGTCTCACATGGCCAAGCAGCTTGCAGACTTTGACATTCGAGGAAGACTGTCAGTTTGACCAGAGCTTAGAAGGTGTCACATGGCCAAGCTGCCTGCAGAAATTGACCTTCGGCAAGGAGTTTAACCAGGGCTTGGAAGGTGTCACCCTGCCAAGCAGTCTGCAGACTTTGACCTTCGGGCGGGAGTTCGACCAGAGCTTGGAAGGTGTGAGGCTGCCAAGTAGCCTTCAAACATTGACCTTCGGCAAGGAGTTTGATAAGAGCTTGGAAGGTGTCACCTTGCCAAGCAGCCTGCATATGTTGACCTTTGGCACGAAGTTCAACCAGAGCTTGGAAGGTGTCACCTTGCCAAGCAGCCTCCAGAGTTTGACCTTCGGCAAATGTTTCAACCAGAGCTTGGAAGGTGTCACCTTGCCAAGCTGCCTGGAGACTTTGACCTTCGGTTGCTTGTTCAACCAAAGCTTGAAAGATGTCACCTTGCCAAGCAGCCTCCAGAGTTTGACCTTCGGCAAATTTTTCAACCAGAGCTTGCAAGGTGTCACCTTGCCAAGCAGCCTGCAGACGTTGACCTTCGGCGATTCTTTTGACCAGAGCCTGGAGAGCGTCTTGCTTCCAGACAACCTGCAGAGTTTAACCTTGGGAGTTCTGACGAGGAAGGCTGGATTTCAGAGGTTGTCAAGCATCACACTGCCAAGCAGTCTGCATGAATTCAGCTCGACGGACTCTACGATGGCGCAAACTATGCGCCTCCAAAGTTTGCGCGTCCATGTCTGATGTCAAATCATTTCAAGGCAGCTCAACGCAGAAGAATTTGCAGGCTTCGGGAGCAGCTGGCTCCTTGGCTTCTGATTTTTCGACGGGACGGTCGACACCGTGCGTGAAGGCGAGAGCCCAAAAGGAAGGCGACGACCCGACCGCGGTGGGCAGGGAGCCTTCGTTGATCTAAAAGATCGAGATCCAAATGAGGTACTCTGAACTTGTTTGCACCTTCAGCTGATCTTGTGTGTTGTGGTGAGCTTGTTGCACCCTTCTCTTCATCAGCGCAGGTGACCGCTGATCCATCCCTCAAGATGTCCGCGCAGGCGCCCTCGGAAGCTTGAAGTTGCTACGTACACATGCATGAGTAAGCTGATCTTGGCGCAGTCACCGCCCCAAGCTTGGACACCAAGTAAGCCCCACTAAGTCTCACAAGGCCAAAGGCTCTATACGTGCTTTGCCGTGTTTCTTCTTCGTGTTTCCCTTGGATTTACTAAAAGAACAGCCAGCTAAGCTGGCTCCGGACGCTGTTGAGTCCCCCGTGTTTCATCCAAAAGAGGAAGCATGGCTCCGGACCCTCCGCATCCATGAGCAAAATGGACCCCCGTAGGGCGAGCCGAGCCGAGATCAGTCAGCGACAGGTGCAGCGGGGAGGGACAGGTGATGACCGGTGATGGGTGGAGGGACAGGGACCTTGTTCAGGATCCGGGATAAGGTGATGCAAGGATCATGATCGTAGTATATCGTAGTAGGAGGACCACGTTGAGATTGAATCCTTCTTCTTTCCCGTTTTCTTCGGCTTCAAGAAACGAAACTGTTTGGAGAGTGGGCACACTGTTCCATACAGGTTCACTCCATCCGTGGGCTCTTTCATCAGAGCGGTGGCACCGTTTTGCCACCAGTTCTTCCAGCACGCATTGTCTTTGGCTGGAGCAGCGGAGGTCGGTGTTGGAAGCTGTTTATAACTATATATATTATATATTATATATGTTGCATATTGATGTTCTTTTCCTTTGCATTGGACGGAACTCTTGGTAGAGGCCCATCATCATCCCTCCAAGGATCGCCGTGGGGTTCAACGTTTCGCTGTTGCTCCGCTTGGGGGGAACCTTCGCCCACGCCGTAGGTCCCGGCGAGGCCCGGACGCGCCGACCGGTCCGGCCCGGGGCGGTCCGGTCTTCACACGAAAGCGCCGTGAAGGGCGCCGTGGTTTGGAGGGGCGTGAGTGACATGAGTGAAGTGATTGAATCTCTTCCAGGAAATGTGTGTTTTTGGAACCTCCCCCCACTCTTCAAGCAAATGAGTTCATGATAGCTCCTTGATGTTCACGAAAATCGCGACTCCATTGCTCCTTCCCAACACGCATAACTATAAGACTACCTGCTGACCCCGGTCCGAGGCAGTTTTTCATGAACATGTTCATCGATGTTATTTTTGTGGGATAAGGTTTGCTCCAAAGCATCGATACACCGCAGCGCAGCATCAGATCGGACATGATCAGATCAGAGCTGAAAAATCGACAGGGCAATGGCCTTCAAGGCCTTCAACCTCAAAACGCGATGGCCTTCAACCTAAGTGCAAACCTGGTTGAAGCCTCAGCGACTCTCGGCACGGTCCACGCGACGCGGTGCCAGCGCCCCACATGGGCGCCGGTGCCAGCGCCGCCGAAGAGGACGCCGCGCTGCGGCGGTGGATCGAGGAGGACGTGGAGCGAGCGAAGCGACTGCTGCCGAGGGCCAGGGAGCAGCTGGGATTTAGTCTCTGACAGAGAGGAATGCATGGCAAAATGGAAGAAATGGAAGACAAGATACATTCCTTTCAAGCCAGGTCCCAGGTTGTTTTTCTTTTTTATTTTTTTCGCGGATCCATGTGAATTTTTGGGTCAAGGATGGACAAGGTCTTGTTTGGCTTGGGCTGGGCATCATATGAGCAACGACCTAAAGGGTCTGTGCAGAAATCTTTATGTGAGAGGAACTATTTCATTGAAATCTTCCTAAAAACCCGTAAAGGGATATAGTGAACCCCCGAAGGCGATACCAACATATGGAGTTTACCAAATTTTATCACCGGTTTTGGCGATCGCTCATATTAATTCATCGACATTTTCGTGTGTCTTCTTTTGGGTCGATCTTTTGAGCGGCGCTAATTATATAATGGGAAGGGTTTATTCAAGGGATGGTTAGAGAAATCTTTTGCAGTGCTTGGGGTTCATATTATCTATGATCATCGTAGTAACAAGAAGCTATTAGAAACAAGTGCCACGCTTCTAGTAACAAGTGCCTTACTAGTAGTAACAAGAAGCTATTAGAAACAAGTGCATCGCTACTAGAAACAAGTGCCTTACTAGTAGTAACAAGAAGCTATTAGAAACAAGTTCATCTATGATCATCTTATGTTTTCTGTATGGGACTCGGGACTCGTCCCGTGCCCCTTTTTTCACGTCCCAGGCTCCTTGCAGCCTCTTCTTCGACGTCGAAGACGCGGATCGCGCTGGTGGGCCTTGATGGCTCCAGCGTGCAGATCGACATGGAGAACCACATGACAGTGACCTGGACAGCGACAGACTGAGGAGAACTGTTGAAAGCGACAGGGGAGCTTGTTGAAACATTTGATGCTAAGAACTCCTGAAGCGAGAATGGTTTTGCTGGGAGTTCCCGAAACCTGCAAATTGCTTGCTATCTAGTCATGTGATGTCATGTGTTTTAACATAAACATCAATGTCAAGCAGTTTCTGAAGCCTGTTCCTGGCAGTTTCTGGTCTTTTCCCAATCCAAGGTGAGAGCTTTTCGCCAGATGGCGGCCCTCAAACTTGGCCTGCAGCCAGGCCGATCGGGCAAAAGACTTGTGCTGTCATCTGGCGGCCAGCTACTCCATGACGCCCAGGAGCTTCTACCACAAGTTTCGGATGAAACGGTGAGCTCCTCACGCCAATTGAGGAGCACTTCTCAATTTTTTCAAGTTGATTGGTTTGCCAATGTTTGCCGACTTGCACATGACAGGGGGATATTAGCTTGAAGGTCGTGTCATGTATGTACCCGAAGTTCGTCTTGTTTTGTGTTCTACCTCTTTTGAGGTGTGTATATATATGTATATATATATATATAGTTACTCTTAGACAGCAAACGTGAAACATGTAGCTCCCTCCCGACGTGGCATCAATACGGCAGAGGAGCTCGTCATATTCCTCACTTTCTGAACCCACATGGCTCTTAAATGCTTGCTAATAAGTATACTTTGGAAAGGCCATGCTGTGTAAGTGGGAGTATCCGCATTATCGAGTTCTATGCACGCTCGAATAAGACATAAGAACGATCGAACTCGGTCTATGGCAAGAATGATCGTGTTGCTTGACCCAACAATCCTCTTTAGAAACGTGTCGTGTTCCTCTCTTTTTGCTCGATCCATCTCAGGCTATGTGACTCAGCCAGTGGGTGCCGGTGAGGCTGCCGTGAGCCTGCAGCGCTTGGTCGACGCCGACGCCGTGGACGAGGCCGTGGACGACGCCGTGGACGACGCCGTGGATGCCGTGGCCCAGTTGACCCTGGGCGCTCGCTTCGATCGACCGTTGAAGGGCTTCAGGCGCCAAGGGTCGATCGGCCGTCGATCGGCCGTCGAAGAGTCGAAGACGTCACGGAAAGGACGGAGAAACGAGGGTTGGTTCATGGGAAGACGCTCGGTTCGACTTCGACTCATCGTTACGCAGCGGTGGTCGAAAGAGGGAAAAAGACCATGAACATCCATGAACACAATCGTTGTTAGATCATTTTCCAGACCGAACCAAAAAAGACAGATCTGCCACACCAAAGACGATGTGCCAGACGAAACAACGCGATTTGATCACCACAGCCGCCGCCACCACGTTGTCTGGATGATGCAGGTTTCCACGATGTCTGCAGAGTTTATCGATTGAGTCCGAATTCGATGTGAGCGTGGAAGGGGTCCTTCTACCCAATGGCCTTGAGACCTTGTCATTTGGAACCGAGTTTAACCAGAGTGTGGAGGATCTCGTGCTTCCTGACAGCCTGCAGACTCTTGCCTGGCCTTTTGGAAAGGGATTGTTGTTTGGTCTTTTGTTTCCCCAATGGAAATTGATCAGCAAAGTCAAGTCTGGGATTGTAGAGTTGAGGCATGTTAAGACCATCCTGAGGTAGGAAGAAAACGGGTCTTTTGGGATATATTGTTGCTCTTTTGCCCACTGATAATTGAGTTGTCCAGTCTCCAATCTGCTCCAGCATGACTAAGTATACTGAGTAAGTAGATGGAAGGGTTTGACTTAGTTGACCATCTCACCTGGAGCATCCGTCACGGCCCCCCAAAGGCGCTTCCCTCACAAAACCGGGAAGAACCGGGTGTTGTTTCCAAGACGCCTGGAAGAGGTTCGCCAGCTCCTGCCAAGTGAAACCTTTTTCAGGGTTCTTGACTCACCTTGTCATGATTTTTTGGTATGTCCTTCAACCTGCAGCTTCAATGGATCACTTGGGACGATGATTCTTTCTCTCGGTCTCCAAGTGTCTCTGTTGTGCCAGGACTTTGGAATTCGGCTTCCGCTTCAATCAGAGAATGGCAGGGGTCCAGCTGCCAAGCAGCTTGCAGACTCTAAGCTTCGATTCGGATTTCAACCAGAGCATCGCAGATCTTGTGCTGCCAAGCAGTTTACAGAGCTTGATCTTCGGTTGTCATTTTGACCAGAGCATGCAAGATGTGAGGCAGGGTTTTCCTATAGTTTGCTAGCCATTTTCACGCAGTTTGTGTGCTTTTTCAGCTTGATCCTTGAAAGGGTGTTTCGGAAATGGGCAAAGGCAATTTGAAAGGCAACTTCACTCATACTTCTGAAAAGAAATATGGGGGTTCATAAGGTTCAATTGCTTGACCATCAACATTGGATAAGGAACCAACCATCCTCATCTGACATCTGTTTCTACAAAAAGCCTGTAGCTTTATTTCATCTTCAACGGTACCCCTGGGAGTGGCGATTCTGCCTTTCTCTTGTCCCGTCCTCAACGCACCAGGCTCCCCAG